TCATAAAGAAGGGGGGGGGGGGGGGAGCAGAACACATGGAGTAATATAGTCATCCCATATGTAGCTGGAGTGCCCAGGCCCAGCAAAACACTGAGAGAAGATTGTACGTCCAAAAGACCAAACTTCCAAACATAAGCAAAGTAACTTGGTCTATGCAGTGTAATGTAGTGAGGAATGCAAGGACCTGAACATTGGGGAGACAAAACAACCTCTCAACAAACAGATGGCCCAACATAGGAGGGCAAATTCTACAGCTCAAGACTCAGCAGTCTTCCTGCACCTTAAAGGAGAACCTGTGAGGTGAGTGATTTCTACCCCTCCTCATAGTTAGAGCCGACCTGTGACATAGAAGCTGTCACAGGTCGGCTCTATCGATCGGGAAGTGAGCAGAAACATGCAGCCGATCCGCTCACTTCCCGATCATCTCTCTGCAGTGAGTAGTGACTGTCAGTCGCCGCTCCCCGCAGGGGTTCCCCCTCCTCTCTCCGATCCTCCAGCCCTGTTTGGAGGAATGATCAGGGGAGGGGGCGGGCACAGCTGGCTCTGCCTCTAGATAGGCAGAGCCGGCTGTCACTCACGCAGCTGGGTGGATCCTGATAGTATTGTTGGGATCCGTCCCGGCTGCGGCACTCTCTGTATATCGCGGGCAATAGCTCGCTATATACTGAGCTTTGTGTCACGGGAGGAGGTTAGTATATGTCCTCTCGTGATCCTAAAGAGAGCTATGGGGGAAAACACTTACCCCATAGTTCTCTTTTAAGGAAAAGAGGCACGCTTTCAAGGATAGTGAGGTGCACATTTTGGACCAAGGGGGCAACTGGTTCCCAAGAGGCACAAAAGAGGCCTTCTACTAGAACAATCAACGTGTACCTTTTGTATGCTACTTGCCATTGGATAACCACTTGTGTATGTCCCAATGTCTAGATTGTGTAACGCCATGTCCATGGTCTTCAATACTTTTGTAGTTGTAATTAAGACACCAAAACATCACAAAAGGTTTCAACATTCAGAAAATAACTTCAAATATAAACAGTTTTCTATGATGGACTGGCTTGGTGTATCTGTGTTATGCAACTTACCACAAAGAGATTCCTTAAACTTTGAAGTGAGCTTTTCAATGACTCCATAAGTCTCCACGTAAAACACATGCTCATCGAGTGGTTCACTTGCCATCAGCTTAAGAGACTTCATGTCTGCCCTGTCCACTCCCACCGCGTATATCTCTATTCCAGAGGCCCGAGCCCTGGCAGCTACATCCTGCACCCTATCTTGGGGTCTTCCATCTGTGACAATGATTGCTACTTTGGGAATCCTGAGGGACGCCGGGCGGGCTCCTGACTGCTCTGTAAATGCCTCCTCAAGGGCAGTCTGTATGGCAAGGCCCGTCATGGTGCCTGCGGACAATGGGTTGATCAAAGAGATGGCGTTCTTCATCGCAGCTTTATTGAAGAAGGTCTTTAGAAAGAATTCGATCTTGACTGTACTGGCATAATTCACCACGGCCACTCGAGTTGCCCTTTCGCCCGTGTCTAGGGTGTCAGTCATGTCGGAAAGGAAAATCTTGACTTTCTCAAACTCTTGAGGACGGACGCTGCGGGAACTGTCAATTATAAATACCAGATCCATGGGCCTGCTCTTACAAGCAGTCTCTGTGAAGATAATAGTGCAGAGATAGGTGTGAGAGACAACTAGGCTTGGAGGCAGTGATGAGCCTGGTGAATTATGACTGTTAATACATAGGAGTCGAGTTATAAACCATTTGCACAGTGAACAGCTCTTCCAATGAGATTCGCAGCACATTATAGCCACTGGATGGAGGTGAGGAGCAGAAGAATTTCCTAGACTCGTTGGTTCCATCTAGTGGCCGTAATGCTCTGTGAATCTCACTCGCATAGCTGTTCCCTGTGCAAATGGGGTTTGTAAATCAACCCCATACTGTTAGATGCCATTTAAAGCAGAATTCACATCTAGTGCAGTGTGTGACAATACTGTTTGTTTCACACACTTTGAATGTTGAAATATACAAAGTATGTAAAGAATTAACATCCCTATTTCTCTAGTGATGTTAAAATGTTTTCACGGTGGCCATGAAAGAACAATTGTGGGTGTTATTGTATATCTAAAGCCAAAACCTTTGTTTTTCCATTTTAGATAGATGAGGGAGCGATTAAAACCCCTGCCTGTGTCCCATTGGAGAGATTCCCCTTCACTTCCTGTCCTGCACACAACAGGAAGTGAGAGGAAATGTCTCTAAAGTGAGGTAGATCCCTTAGACCAGGGATGTCCAAACTCCGGCCCTCCAGCTGTGGTGAAACTACAAATCCCATGAAGCATCTCTCTCCGGGAGTCATGTCTGTGGCTGTGAGAATCTTGCAAAGCCTCATGGGATTCGTAGTTCCACCACAGCTGGAGGGCCGCAGTTTGGACATCCCTGCATTAGACATACTGTATGTCCCCATAGGAAGATATATCCTATATTCCTGTTCTGGCGACAGCTTGACATTTTGGGTTATCCCTCATTTTCAGTAACAGTGACAACGGTCACCAGGACATATAGAGATAGCGAATCTCCCCAGTGGGGACACACAGGGCAATCGCAACCCAACCGGGGTTCTAATCCCACACCACTCTATCCAGAAACAAAAGAAGTTTGTCTTTAAATACAGTTTAGCTTTAGCCGTACACCTATCTGTGTAATGCTCAGACCTGGTGCAGGGGCGGTGCAGAATGTTTAATTCCTATTTACCTGCTGCTAACATTTTATAAAACCAGTGTAAAGATATGTGAAAATCACAGGCGCCAAAACACAGTAACTGCTCCTGAAAATGGTCTTCCAAAGGTATATACAGGGGGGGCAGCTCCTCACAATCAGGGGAAACCGAAAATCTGATGAGGACAAAGCAAAAAGAGGCACCTCCATAGTGTAAAATGGATTTAAGGATAAAACACAGCTGAAGAGGTACTTACAAACCAGCTTGTATAAACGAGCAGAAAGTCATATAATCTCAGGAGACCATCAAGATGAATACATGAAAATAGGGTTTCTGAGGACAAACCTCTTTCATCAGAACCTGCAGGTTCTGATGAAAGAGGTTTGTCCTCAGAAACGCGTCAACAGAAGGAGGGTCAGCGTGTAGATGGCTTCGGCTTAGTACCAGCACTTCCTTTCCCTCACCCTATTTTCGTGTATTCATCTTGATGGTCTCCTGAGATTATATCGCTTTCTGCTCGTTTATACAAGCTGGTTTGTAAGTACCTCTTCAGCTGTGTTTTATCCTTAAAGGAGAACTATGGGGTCAGGGCTTTTCTCCATAGTTCTCCTTAGGGTAACGGGAGGTCACAAACTAGCGTCCTCCCGTCACCCTAAGCTCAGTATACCGCGAGCTACAGCTTGCGGTATACTGAGACGCCGCAGCTGAAGCGGATACCAACATCGATGTCGAGATCCACCCAGCTGTGTGAGTGACAGCTGGCTCTACCTATCTAGAGCTGTACCTGCCCCGTCCGTTCCTCCAATCAGCGCTGGCGGATCGGAGCGGGGAGGGGGGAGCCCAGCCCCTCCCCTGTCACCGCAGAGAGCCGTGACAGGATCGAGAAGTGAGAGAACGCCGGTATGTGTTCGCTCACCTCCCGATCTACTGAGCCGACCTGTGACAGTCTCATTGTCACAGGTCGGCTAGAACTATGAGGTGAGTGAAAAGCACTCACCTCATAGTTCTCCTTTAACAAATCAATTTTACACTATGGAGGCGCTCCTTTTGCTTTGTCCTCATCTGATTTGATAAAACCAATAGACTCGTCCACTTCCTGCAGTCACCAGGATATTAGAACAAAAAAAGAAATAATTCTCAATCCTATCCCAGGTCTTCTATTGAGAAAATGTTGAAGCTCTCCCATGCCTGCAATGAGAGGCAGGGATCCCCCCACTTCCCAAGATCCATCTAGTGCCCATAATGTGACATTGCATTGAGAAAATATTTCCTGGTAAAGAAAGAACCTTCATTTTGGCGCATGTCTGCACAGAACAAACCTCCACAGATATTCGCAGGGTGAACGGCCATTCAAATAGTTTATTAATGCACCCCTATATCGCCAGTTACTCAATGTCGATGGGATGAGGACATTTCCAAATTTTAACCCTTGACAGTAAAAGAAAAGGAACAAAATGGCCCCTTTGGATTATTATTATAAAGGAAGGGGGGAGAGATTTTAACTAGGTCTTTTTTTCACTTTACTTGCGTTAAAATGAAACTCAAGCGTAGGAAAAAATACCGCCACCCACCCCCTGTCCCTGAAATGCCCTAGGTATTCATACCCTATACATACCTTTTTCTACAGTCTTTCAGACGGCCTGGTGATGTCACAGGAGAGTACTCCACACGTGTCCCATTGCAATTCTTACCATGGAATCCCAATATAACCCGTGGCGGGTGCTGCAGTGACAACTGGTTGGTGCTGCGTTAGTGAATACTGAAGAAGAAGAAGAGACGTCACCGACACTCCAGTATGTCTTTTTATTGACGCACGTTCACATTATCACAAAGCAAACAGCAAAGTTTCGGGGCCACATAGGGTCCCTTCATCAGGCATACCAGATAATGACATTGTTTGCCTGATGAAGGGATCCTATGTGGCCCCGAAACGTCATTGTGTGCTTTGTGATAATGTGAACGTGCGTCAATATAAAGACGTATAGGTATCACAACTAGTGGGCCGGTGACTTTTCTTCACCAGTATTCCCATATTTTGATCCCAGCATATCAATGTTTCCATGACATTTTATGTTGACTTTGGAAGGTCACACTCCCCGCACTGTACAACAGCCAGAACCGTAAATACAGCAATGTCTGTACCTTCAAAAGTGAACACTAAGAAGCAACAATCCGGACCGAGGATACACATCAATAAAGGTGCATTTTTGGGACACACCATTATTAAAAAAACTGAGTTTTTCTTTGAAGCCAATTTCCATTCAAATGATTTAATAAATTACAGTCCAGGCCTTTTAAAAACATAAAAAGCAGCTCTGACTGCAATGGTTGGCTGGTAATAAGTGTCCCCTACAGGCTCACTGCTCCAAGGTCCAGTGCTGGTCCACTTCTGGGTGGAATGACGCCCAACATGGTTCAACCCACTTCCTGGGAGTCAGCATAGTCATGGACCTGCCTCTCTGGGGGGAAACGTCATGAAGCAAGCATCAGCAGGGAAAATGCTGCAGGAAATGGTGCCATGCCACTGCCGGTCTCTGCAGCATTCAGGACCTGCCCACCAGAGAAGAAGATTCATGGTGCCACCCAACCACACAGAAGAAAAAAAAGGTATGCAGCCATTTAAAAAAATTAAAGTCATTGGGGGTGCTCCAATGAGGGAGCAGAACTGGACTTAGGCTTTCATTTTTATAGCACACGGGGGTGGAGTAGCCTGTGGGTCAGGTACTTTGGTAGCTGTCCAAAATACTCATGTGTTATGACACTTATGTATCTAATAAAGATCCTGATTGGGATGTTATCAGATGTAGCCCATTCAAGACAACGTGCAGAATACATTCTAGTAATACAGGAGTATAGTATAACATACAGGGCTGGATTTCCCACAAGGCCAACCGAGGCCCAGCCTTGGGGCAGCAGGGGGCGTGGAATTCCTATCTCCGGAGGCCCGGCCTTGGGGCAGCAGGGAGTAGTGGGGCAGCAGGGGTGTGGAATTCCTATCTCCCGATGCCTGGGACATGCAGTTCTGGGCGGCGGGCGGGTAGTTGTTTTCTACATTTAGCCCTGCTAAAGCTGCCACTTGTTCTGTACAGGTGGTCTCAGCGATGTCGCCGAGATCACTTGTATGCAGCCTGCATTCAGGGG